CATCTTTTGAAAATGTACCAAAAATGAAAGTTGATTAGAATTTAATTCTCTACAACTTTGCTTTTATGATAACGCCAAATTCTTTCTAGATTTTGAATTGAAAATCAAAGTCCATGTTTAACTCAAAACCCTAATTTTTGGGAAATTACTTTGAATACCAACCTTGCTCCAAAAATTGAACTAAATAATCCTAGATGATTTACCATAGTAGCCAAACATGTTTTACTAACCTAGCAAGCAAAATCAGGGCAAAACAATTCAAACAAAGGTATGCAACATTCAGGTTTCACAACATGTTTCATATATTTCGAAGCAGTGTTTCAATTGTTATTTACATGATTAGGCATGTAGGATTAGGATGCTTGATGATGCATGATATGTATGATTTGTAGTGCCTAAATGCAGGCATAACATCGGGGTGTTACGCCCCCCATGTGCACTGCTCCACCTTGGTAGTGTCCGCCGAGGTGGCATGGCGCCTCCCTGCCGTCTTGCGCTACCACTACCGCCTTGCTCTGCCCGCACATGTAGCCGTCCACCATCTCGCCCTGTCGCTCTCTATTGAATGGCTACACGACGCAACGAGCCGTTCTTCCTCCCATCCCCCCTCACGCGCCATTACTACCATCAGGGACGGTGGGCCGATGTCCCCTCATGCGCATGGCTTCGCAATTCACGCCCCTCGATTCACTAGGGTCTGATTCATATCACCTATAGCGACTCCATAAAGCTATCTAGCTGTGTCACCCTTACCGAGCCTCAGCCGAGCACTGCCGCCCGCCAATTTGGCGTTTTACTCACTGCCGGTCATCTCCGCCGCCGCGCCTGACTTTGCTGGGGGTAAACCGGTATCCTTCGGTAGAGATTCAATTAGTTGCTCTTTCGAGCCTTCCTTGACCCCCTCATTTCCATGCTCATGCCAGGTTCACTAGAGGCACTGCCGGTGACATGCTGACGTGGAGGTCCCATGCTCGGGGCACCGCCGCATCGCTCGGTCGCACGCGGTCATCACCGCTCGAGCCACCTCCGACCAAACCATCACCACAACCACAACCAGGGTAAGATAGTGATGCTATAGCGCTAGCTTGTTCACCTCGCGGTGGCTTAGGGTGGCTAACATGGTCGTGTCACTATCGCGGATGGCCGTGCGTCGTGGTCACCACTCCCACGAGCTCCGCCTCTCCTTTAACCTAGGCTAGTGTAGGCGCTAGGGTTGTAGACGGGGGTTGGCCCGTTAGTGGAGCCAGCGCTGGTCCTGGCTGGCCGTCGTGGCTGTCCAATGCCATCGCCGCTGTGCCGCTACGCGCGCGGGTGGCTGAGGACCATGTTGTTGTAAAGGAGGGAGTTTGCGAGGGTTTTATTACAAAGTCGTAGTCTGTTGAAATAGCGCACATAGTGTTTGTAGTATTATCGAAGAACGCGAGGGCGTTTTTGCAAGTTGGTCGATGCGCGCGTGGGCCGCGCGTGTAGGCCGCGCGTGCCCGTATGCTGCGCGCGTGTGGGCCACGGGGAATGGCCGCGCGAGAATTGGTTTTCCTTTTTCCAGCAAATTAGCAAATGTTTTTCTAATTTAATTTTGAGCTGATCTTTGGAAAATTATAGTAAATTCTATAGTTGTCCAAAAATAGTGAAACAAAATTTGTTAGGTTCATAAAAATATGATCTATCTGTTAGTGTAGTTAGTTTACATTTATCTGTGAGAATGTTAGGTTCATTAATTCATTTAGGAAAGCTTAGCATTATTTAGATTAATATTTGTATGAATTTTTGTGGTCAATTAGTAATAGTTTTGACCATAAAATTTTTACAGTAGGTTCATTGTATTATTATGAACTCACTGTAATTTTTGTATCCTTAGAATATGTTGAGAAATATGGTATCTAAGTACTCCTTGTTGTAGTATATAAAAAATTGTTAATAAGAGTAAGAATATATTTTAGTTGCTAAGTAGCACTCGTAAGCGAAACCCTGTTGGTTTGATGGGAATGATGATTAGCTTGGTATCTTAGTCATTAGAGCTAGCTTAGTGGCTTAGTAGATGTATTCTTACTTTAAGAACTGTTGTTGCCTTAATATTGAGTGTTGCATCATCATTGCATGCATGTAGGGAACGAGTTGGTGGAGTTCATGACCGCGGACGAGCAAGAGTACGAGGAGGTGATTGAAGAGTACAAGGAGGAGATCCTCGTGTAGGAGGAGGTCCCGGAGCCGCCACTGACTGACTGAGCTAACACCGCGCCTGCCCAAGGCAAGCCCAGGTAAGTAACCCTTATTTTGAATAATTACTGAAAATATATATATGATGTGCATTTACGTTATATGAGTTATATTGAAACTATATGCATAGATATATCTACTTATGAGTCCTACTAGCTTAGGTCGAGTTGCTGCTATGCTTAGGTTTTTTGGTAGCGTGAGTAACCTGTCGTTACTCATAATAGGTGATTAAGATTATCACTCTCATGATAAAATGGTGAAAGAAAAAATAGAGACCGGACAGGGATATGGTACGGGTATTGGTGGGTGTAAGAGATTGTGTTTCGCGACCAACGGTGCATAGCGTGGTTACACTATTTTTCTTGTCCATATTGGTTAAGGATCGACCGTTGCATTTGGTTCTAGGCAAGTTACAGACTTATTATCCTGAGCACATACTTGTTTATGGAAGCAGAAAAGGCTTGTTGCTCTCTTGTCATGGGTTTCGACTCTTTTCCGGACCGACTGATTGGAGGCGGGGATGGTGGAGGTCTAAGCACCGCACTGAGTCTGGGACTCATGCGTGGGGGCTTGGAGTCCAAGTTTAGACTAGGACCTGGACCCCTTGACAGGAGAGTGATGGGTTGGTCCTGTTTGTGCCTGGGGTACAAGTGGGGCATATGTTTCGGGGTACCCAGCTGGGCACATTGATTTGCGAATCGTCGGGTAATCCGGTACGGCTTGTCTACAGTCTAGCACCGTAGTAAGAACTAGAACATGAAATATGGTGAAATGGATCTGTTTTGCTCAACTATTGCTTGAAAGTAGAATATGTGCTTACATAGAATGGCTAGATAATAAACTAATCATGACTGCTAATAAGAAACATACATAAGGATCCACTACTAGTAATGTTTTTTTACGAAAAGTAAACCCAACAACCCATAAAGCTTATCATATTCTTTGGAGTCGGAAAATTATTCTCACTAGTTGGGTAAGTCTTACGAGTACATCATGTACTCAGGGTTTATTTACCCCTGTTGTAGGTGCAGTTTAAAGAGTAGCAGTTGTGTGGAGGATTCTTCTGGTGGGCACAGACAGATCCTTATATTCTACCGTTAGATGTTTATTGTAATTTCGCTGTTTAAATTTCACACTCTGAACTTGGTACTGTAATAAGATATTTCTAAGAACTCTGGTGGTATGAAATGAACTAAGTATTGTAAACTCGTTCTTATTATTGGACCCCGGAGAAAAAACGTGGATTATTCGAGTTCTTCCTTGGGGTGTGCTCAACAAAATCCGCCGACATAGCTTGCTTTCGGGGTGCTTAGTGTCCGGTGGAAGACGAGCGCCTCTGAAGGTGTGTTATTTTGGACGGTTCTGCCATAGTTATTATGTTTTACAAGTATTTAGAACACATATATACATCGATCACAATGTTTATGGAATTTTCTAGAATTTTCTAAATATCATTTCTATTTTTCTAGAGCTAAATCTGTTTTTTAAACTAGAGATATTCTCATGAGCTCTAAATATTTTATTTGGATATGGCGTTCCCATTGTATCTCTAGAATTTTATTTGAAGTTTTTTAAAGCCTATAGACATTTTTTGTCATGACATGAGGTAATTTTGAATGGTTTTGAAAATTAACGAATAACATGTCTGATTTTAGAGTTTAAGAAAAAAAATCAGACTTAGAGGAAAATTCAGGTAAATCCTATCCGTTCAATGGCCAACCACCGCAGCAAACGAGCTGAGCTCAAACAAATATCTCCACATCAAAAGCAGCAGCTATAGTAATCAAAAGAAATAAAATGCAGCAGGTATCTCCAAGCCACTCACCTGTTGCTTGCTCCGTTGATTTTCAGAACTTGATTCGTGGCCCCATGTGTCAGTGAGTAACAGCATAATTTATTCCGCCTTGACGGTTTGCATCTACTCCGTATTCTAGAGAGTGTCACACGACACGAACGAGAGACGGCTTCATCCGATTGGCGATTGGTGTGTCCTATTTATCCTCCACTCTTTCCTCTCGAGCTCTCCAGTCTCCACTAGCTTTCCCCTTCTCTCCGGTCCGGGATTCGGAAATACAAGGCAGAAGCTAAGGTACCAGACCATGTCCTAACCCCTAGCTGCTGCTGATTGATTACTTTTCGCCACTCGTTGGAGTAGAAATTTTAGTTACTCTCCGTTTTGGGGCTGTTCATGTTCCTGTGTTTGGTGCCTTTCTTGATAAGTTGATATACAGCCATGGATCCTTAGAACTTCGATTTAGTGACTCCGTAGGTATTGGATAATAACAGAAAAAGATTGAACCACCGGTTATATTTCCCCCGGATTTCGACAACTTTTTAGGGCCTTTGGAACCAAGGAATTTCTTAGTTTTTTTTTTTTCATGGAGAAATTTCGAAGACACCAATGAAGTTCTCGCATAAATAAGAAAAAAAACTAAATCATGCTCGATTTGATTTTCTTGCCATGAGAAACTGCTAGTCAAGCACAAAAGAGGGATCTCCTAATTTTCCACACTTGACAACATTATTTTCACAGCTTCACGAACTTTCGTCATGCACCCACCCCCCACCCAAAATGTGAATACAACCATAACCTTCACAGCTTCAAGAACTTCCAAGTTTAAAGAAATTTCTAAACAGTAATTCTTTTTTAAGCTGGTGAGGGGTCCCGGCCCTCCTGATTACTAAAAAGAGACGACTGAACAAGATATTATTAGATCCACACACGAATTGTATACCAAATGTTTCCCTGATTGGAGCTAATTTCCTCATGGAGATTAGGGACTATGGGGCAGAAGCATCTTTTGTTGCTTGCTTGTTTCTGGGTCCTGTCATGTTCCTTGCTACTTCATGCTTCCTCCGATGGACTGTTAAGAATCAACCTGAATAAGAAGAAACTGGACAAGGAAGCTTTGACTGCTGCAAAATTTGCGAAGAAGGAGAGCCGCCTTCGAAGGTCTATGAGTGCTGGCCAGTATCTTGGTGCCTCAACTGATGACATAGTTCCTTTGGACAACTACCTGGACACTCAGTACTTTGGAGAGATTGGCATTGGCACGCCATCACAGAACTTCACGGTGATATTTGACACTGGAAGCTCCAACTTGTGGGTTCCCTCATCCAAGTGCTACTTTTCGGTATGTTCATTACTATGAGATAATGGTGCATATTTTGACGCCAGTAAGGTATTCTAAGTTTGGTATTTGTACGTCCATGTATTACAGATAGCATGCTACTTACACCACAGATACAAGTCAACCAAGTCGAAGACTTACAAAAAGAATGGTACACAATAATCTGTTGCATCTATTCAGTTTTGACTATTGTTTTGGCGAGTTTGAGAGATGTTGGTTAAACGGTACCCTGTTATTTGAACTGCACAGGAGAATCTTGTACAATCACATATGGTTCCGGGCAAATCGCTGGCTTCTTCAGTGAGGACAACGTGTTGGTTGGTAACCTTGTAGTGCAAAATCAGGTAAACTGGTCACATAAATCCTCAATTAAATGTTCCTATCCACCATTGTTATGATAATAGTACTACTTTTTGTTCAGAAATTTATTGAGACGACTCGTGAAACCAGCCCTACTTTCATCATTGGGAAGTTTGATGGAATTCTTGGCCTCGGATTTCCTGAAATTTCTGTGGGAGAAGCCCCTCCAATTTGGTATGTATTAATTTCGTTTGTACATAATGTCGAAACTCAAATCACTGCATTTCTGTTCCTTGATCATTTTCTCTGTTGGATGAACCAAACAGGCAGAGCATGAAAGAGCAGAAACTGGTCGCAAAGGATGTCTTCTCTTTCTGGCTTAATCGTGACCCTGATGCATCTGCTGGAGGCGAGCTTGTCTTTGGTGGTGTTGATCCAAAACACTACAAGGGGAACCATACATATGTTCCGTTACTGCAAAGGCTACTGGCAGTTTGACATGGGAGATCTTCTTATTGGTGGCCACTCGACTGGTTACTGTGCTGGTGGTTGTGCTGCTATTGTGGACTCAGGGACTTCATTGCTGGCTGGTCCAACTGTATGTATTCTAGAATTCCTAAATGGTGAATTCACATTTAGTACCTTTTCAGAAAAAATGGCACGGCTTATTTTCAATTCTTGTTCTGGTCCAGACCATAGTGGCTCAAGTCAATCATGCAATTGGTGCTGAGGGGATCATCAGTACAGAATGCAAAGAAGTGGTGAGAGAGTATGGAGAGATGATCCTTGAGTTACTCATAGCAGAGGTTTGGTGCTGGTTTCCCTTCTATATTAATTGTTTTTGCGATTAGTGTTTGTACATTGATATGGTTTTATCTAAGTATGAAGCATTTTGTTAATGAGCAGACAAGCCCACAGAAAGTGTGCACTCAGATTGGTCTCTGTGTATTTGATGGTGCCCATTCTGTCAGGTTAGCTCAGTTTATAAATTAATTCTAAGTCCTGTCGTAGTATCTATGCATTTTATTTTCCATGACATGTTTTTATTGAACTATCATGCAGCAACCCAATTGAATCTGTTGTTGAGAAACAAAATCTTGGTTCTGATCTTTTCTGTACTGCTTGTGAGATGGCTGTTGTCTGGATACAGAACCAACTCCGAGAAAACAAGACAAAAGAGCTCATTTTGAATTATGCTAATCAGGTTGGGATACTTTGTTATGGTTGGCCAGTTTTTTATGATTGGGAATTGTGCAGAATGTGACAGCATTTCTTATTCTAATGTGCATTGCAGCTCTGTGAGCGTCTCCCTAGCCCCAATGGCGAATCAACTGTTGATTGCGATCAGATCTCAAAGATGCCAAATCTTGCATTCACCATAGCAAACAAGACTTTCACCTTAACACCAGAGCAGGTAACTCCCTACTTACAGTTTCTTCAGTATTTGAGTTAATAGCGAAGCTTTGTCTGGGCGAAACCATGATCTCATTTTCAAAGTTCAGTTCATTTATCGGACGTTCTTTGGTGCTAACATACTTGTTCTAGTTCTCTTGAATGCACTGATAGCCTTTGTGCTGCAGTACATAGTGAAGCTGGAGCAAGCAGGACAAACCATCTGCATCAGCGGGTTTATGGCATATGACGTACCACCTCCTCGTGGTCCTCTCTGGTACGCTGAACATATATGTACATAAGTGGCAGTAATCCACTCTACAGTCTTTGGTTTCCTTAGCAAGAATCAAGCATGCAATCTGACATCCGTCTTGTAAACATTCAGGATACTTGGTGATGTTTTCATGGGCGCCTACCACACTGTTTTTGACTTCGGCGAGAACAGGATTGGGTTTGCCAAATCTGCCTGAGGACTGGAGTTCTTCGCTTTAGTAACATATCCGGTTTGTTATCCCGGTATTGTACATATATTGTCGACCGGTATAAGCTGCAATGCTTAATACTATAGTATATATGCACGCAGAAACCTAGAGGATTGTGGCAGGATATGTGTTTGCAAATGGAGCTATGCTATGTATGAAGCTCTGGGACATGGAATTTGATGTAACAAGCACGGATACACGATGAGGATTAGGGCTTTTAACCTAATCTTATCATGTTGATTACTATGTGGAAGTATGGTTGCTGAGACGAGATGCCGATCAATAGGGTTTTCTACCCTCCTTATAGTTTCGGGATAGGGTTACATGGCCCTGTTCGCTTGTCTTATAATTCGTACTTTTCAGTTTATTTTTTCAGCTGGAAGAGTGTTTTTTCCTTGCAACAAATCAGCCGGAACAGTGTTTTGGTTTTTTTCAGCGAAACGAACGGGGCAGTGCCTCCTCAATCTGCATTATAGATTGGTTTTGATATTGGATATAACTGAATCTTGGGTCATGCAGGATAAGGTTTCTAGCTAATTTATACAGTGAGTAGATGATGATCCCTCGTGTAGACTTTGGGCTCAAAAATGTCTATGGCTCGCCCTATGGCAAGGGCGCTGAATTTTTTTTTTATTTTTTTTGGGAAATTACAAGGGCATAAACAGGCGTACCTCCTAAGAATAGGTAAGTACAAGGTAAATCTGAGTGGTATCTGGTATGCAAAAGCTGGTTGTATCTAGGTTAGTGACCTAGCAGGAGGCACCATGGATTTTAATCAAATTACCAAGTGACATTTGTTTTTCCCGGGGGGATCGGGTCAGGTAGTGGTCCACTAGAGGCATACCCTCCGAATTCAGTTTGGGGGGGGCGTGTTGGTGGTTTCAGCTATAAGCTCATAAATCTAGTCCTATTTAGTATGGATGAAAACAGTACGGATATTTATTCGACCGTCCGTTCGACCGAACAAATATAAACACTTATCTGGATAGTTACTCGGATATCCGTAATTTTTTTCGGATACGGATAATAAAACGGATATCTTAGGCGGATATCAAATACGGATGTAATATCATCGATATCCGGCGGATATCGGATAATCCGGTTAAGTATCGGATATATCCGGATATTTTCAAACGGATATTATCCGGATATTATTCAAACGACCTTGGATGGAGAAATGATCAAAATAAAAATTGTAGATCTCAAAAAGTTATGAAACTTTGTTGTTTACAACTTTTTCGTTTGAAATCATTTAGTGCTTCAAAATTTAAACCGTCCAAACTTTCTCAAATGGAAAAACTAGTTTATAGGTGTCAAAATTTAAAACTCACAAATTTGAACCATCCAAACTATCTCAAATGGAAAGTTGACCAAAACAACAATTGTAGATCTTGATGAGTTGAACAAACTTGGTATTCAAAACTTTTCAATTTGAAGTCATTTAGAGTTCATAATACTAAAGTCAAAATGTTGTTTTTTTTATTTGACCAAATTTGACTTGGTCAAACTTGCTCAAATGAGACACTAAATGACCTCAGATGAAAAAAAACTCTGAATACCAAGTTTGATCATCTCAGCAAGATCTACAATTGTTACATAGCTCATTTTCCCATTTGAGAAAGTTTTATCAAACACTAGTCACAAATTCTTGAATCTCATATAGACTTTTTGAAACTATGTCACACACTTGTGAAATTTGAACTATATTTTGTTCAAACTTTCTCAAATGAAAAAATGGCCTATATAAGGATTGTATATCTTGATGAGATGAACAAATTTGGTATTCAAAACTTTTCAATTTGAGACAATCTATGGTTCCGAAAACTAGTTTGTAAACGTCAAAATTTAAAAATCACAAATTTGAACCGTCCAAACTATCTCAAATGGAAAGTTGACCAAAACAACAATTGTAGATCTTGATGAGTTGAACAAACTTGGTATTCAAAACGTTTCAATTTGAAGTCATTTAGAGTTAATAATACTAGAGTCAAAGTGTTGTTTTTTCATTTGACCAAATTTGACTTGGTCAAACTTGCTCAAATGAGACACTAAATGACCTCAGATGAAAAAACTCTGAATACCAAGTTTGATCATCTCAGCAAGATATACAATTGTTACATAGCTCATTTTCCCATTTGAGAAAGTTTTATCAAACACTAGTCACAAATTCTTGAATCTCAGACTTTCTGAAACTATGTCACACACTTGTGAAATTTGAACTACATTTTGTTTAAACTTTCTCAAATGAAAAAATAGCCTATATAAGGATTGTAGATCTTGATGAGATGAACAAACTTGGTATTCAAAACTTTTCAATTTGAGACAATCTATGGTTCCGAAAACTAGTTTGTAAACGTCAAAATTTAAAAATCATAAATTTGAACCCTCCAAACTATCTCAAATGGAAAGTTGACCAAAACAACAATTGTAGATCTTGATGAGTTGAACAAACTTGGTATTCAAAACGTTTCAATTTGAAGTCATTTAGAGTTCATAATACTAGAGTCAAAGTGTTGTTTTTTCATTTGACCAAATTTGACTTGGTCAAACTTGCTCAAATGAGACACTAAATGACCTCAGATGAAAAAACTCTGAATACCAAGTTTGATCATCTCAGCAAGATATACAATTGTTACATAGCTTATTTTCCTATTTGAGAAATTTTTATCAAACACTAGTCACAAATTCTTGAATCTCATATAGACTTTCTGAAACTATGTCACACACTTGTGAAATTTGAACTACATTTTGTTCAAACTTTCTCAAATGAAAAATAGCCTATATAAGGATTGTAGATATTGATGAGATGAACAAACTTGGTATTCAAAACTTTTCAATTTGAGACAATCTATGGTTCCGAAAACTAGTTTGTAAGCATCGAAATTTAAAAATCATAAATTTAAACCATCCAAACTATCTCAAATAGAAAGTTGACCAAAACAAGAATTGTAGATCTTAATGAGTTGAACAAACTTGGTATTCAAAACTTTTCAATTTGAAGTCATTTAGAGTTCATAATACTAGAGTCAAAGTGTTGTTTTTTCATTTGACCAAATTTGACTTGGTCAAACTTGCTCAAATGAGACACTAAATGACCTCAGATGAAAAAACTCTGAATACCAAGTTTGATCATCTCAGAAAGATCTACAATTGTTACATAGCTCATTTTCCCATTTGAGAAAGTTTTATCAAACAATAGTCACAAATTCTTGAATCTCATATAGACTTTCTAAAACTATGTCACACACTTGTGAAATTTGAACTACATTTTGTTCAAACTTTCTCAAATGAAAAAAATAGCCTATATAAGGATTGTAGATCTTGAATCCATGACCATGACTCCATGAGACCCATGAAGCCATAAGCTTGGCTATTTCTACTCATGCCGCGAAGATTGGTGCTTGTATGCTGTTTGATGTATGATGTATCTGTATCTTTATCTTATTTGTTGCTTTACTCTTTAGTCTTTCGGCTTAATCTAGATGGATTATGGACTCATAGAGTGGTGTAATGGTTTGTGCATGTATGATATATATATATGCTGCTTTTACTCAATATCCGAATAGATATTTGTATCCGACCTTCTCCGAATCTGATTCATACCGTATTCGATACTCATTATTCGTATCCGTAACCGAGTCAATCCGTATTCGTATATGTATCCGAACGCTATCCGTGTCCGAATCCGAATCCGATCTGAAAACAAATATAATATGAGTGATATCCGTTCGTATCCGATCCGTTTTCATCCCTACTATTTAGTCACTTTCTACCCTTGTTATTCATCTCTACCTTAGTGCTTATTTTGAAGCCTTTGTTCTCATCTTCACTCCTTGATTTGATATGCTTTTAGAACTATCCCTCATCACCTTCTTACATAATCTGAAGACGAGTCTTAGGATTATTACCCCTAGTACAATGAGGACGATAGTATTGCAAGTTGAGTCAATGATTGAATTGTGCACCTTTAGTGCTTTGTTAAATTGTTATTATGCTTCTGCTTATTTTGAATCTTTATAATGATTGCAATGATCTTGTTGGGTGTTCTCACAATTTTTTATTTAGTTTATAGGCCTAAGATATAAGGATTAATGAAATAAATAGTCAGGTTTTGGTTCTCTCCTATTTTCTCTATCGTGCCTTCAGAGCAACCTATCTTTATTAGTTTATATCTCTTTCTTTGAACTTCTAAAAATCATGACAAAATTCTGGACGACACTAGACTTCAATATCTTTCTCTGACCACAAGAATCACCTTGATAGCTATGTTGGTTATGGAGTTATGAAAATCACAAGACGATACATCGATGCTGTCTGAAGCCTAGAATAGTTTCCGTTGTGCACTGCTTTCGACTACCTGATCTATAGAATTTGGAAAAGTGTTCTATAAGGAAGTTGTGGAGAATTTGATAAGCTTTCCAACAATATAAACTATAGGTCTATTGATTAACAGAATGAGAGTTACAGCTGTTTTACTGCGCTATTGTTTTTCTGCTCGCGAGGAATTTTAGATTTCTTGTTCTTGCTCATACACGAGAGTATCATTGGGATGTCAGAACGTCTTGATACTAATTAGCTCATCTAGAAGAAGGTGCAAGCTACCCTTTTTGTGTCCCCTAGCTGATCTTTTCTTAAGGGGGTAGCCAAGTTGAAGAATTTACAAGATAAAGTATCATACATTCTAGTTTGCGCAGCGGAAGCGTGGTGGGCCCATAACCCACAGGTCCTAGGATCAAAACCTTTGGAAGGAGATATGGGACATCTATAGTTGGTTATACGTGGGATCAGAAAACATCAATGTGACATCAAGCCTAACAAGTGAGTTCTCTACGTGGATATGTTAATAGGGAGAAAGGTACCAAGAAAGTTAGTGATGTGATTGAAACCCACTCAAAGATGTGAGAGAAACTCAGAGTCTTTAATAATGAGGTTTGATTAGAGATTCAAGGGTGGTTTATCCAAGACCATCAAGATGTTGATAGTGTTAC